TGAGATGAACATACTGCCAGCCATAGTGAAGCTCACAGTTGATTATCAGATTTTTTTCACTAGGGTCCCTAAAGTAATCTGCTTTCAAAGAAAATTCTTAATAATCAGCAAAGTCCTCCTCTGTGGCTCTAAGTCCCCCATATTGGAGTTGAAAAGCATTTGTTTTGACCATAGAATGTGCAGAGAATAAGGTCTAAACTGCGACTTCTGTCGACGAATGCATTTCATGGTGGGAGATCCTCTGCTGGTGAAGCACTCTCTAAACAAGAAGTATCCCGCGGTAGCTCCATGATGGAGCGCAGAGGGGAAAGGCTGTGATGCAAAAAATATGTTTGCCCATGTTGATAAAGACTGTTCATCAGGGTGATGTTTTTCTGTTTAGGACATCATTCTATGTCGTAGAATGTTTCATCTTTCTTTTTTTCCCCCCAACAAAAAAAAAAGATAATATGCCACCTTAAACAAATCGGTATCCCGTGGCCAGTCAAGTGGTCATTAGAGCTATCGCACAACCAACTATGCTGATTTGAACTTTACTGCGCAATTAATGCCGCTGTGAGTAAACCCTGCCGGGGCTCAAGAATGCTTGAGACTCCACTCATCTGTGTAAATCACCAATCTGAAGTTTACAACTTTACTGTTTGTCCAGAATGAGGCCTTAGTTATTCTTAATGGAGGGTTCAGTTAAGGTTTTAGGGGCCTGGAACACGGAGGCTCCATTTGGCGCTACGCTTTTGTTTAATCAACATTTCAGGGAACCGCTGAGTCCTTTGCCCGTCTCGCAGAGAAGCCGCCTGCTCCAAAGCCTCTTTGGTTTTTATCAGTGTAGTGTGTTTCCCATTAGCCAGCTTGTCTCTGTGGTTTGCCTCGGGATGCGCAGGTCAGGCTCAGTAGAAGAGTTTCGATTTCCGAACTAAACTTTGCCACAATTGCGTATGGAAAACAGACATTGCCACAAGTTGTCAGTTGGCACTGCCAAGATAAGGAATGGAGACAATTTGAGCGAAAATCGCAGACAGAGGGTATTCACAGTACTTGAAGCATTTGATTTAAATCAAGAAAATGTGTCTGGATTTTAAGGAGACAAAGAACATGGCGTCATCTAAAGTGAAAACACATTGTAGCTATTTCTTTCTGCCGTTTGGTGGTGGAGGCCTTGGCATCTTCCACTAAAACACAAACTTCCACCAGCATTGTTGCTGTGAGACCGCACGCCAGTTTGCCTCTCCACTGTTTTCCCTGAGAGGACCTCGCTGTTGTCATCCACGCGCTTGGCAGACATTGCCAGTGGCCCTGAGACGTCTTTGACCGGGAGAGGAATGTGCCGGACCCAGGCCTGGTTAACTTCTTCACCCACACGCTGTTGTACTGGTCACAGTGTCTGACATTGAAACTCTTGAGCTTCTCAAACACAATGTGCACAGGCGGACGTCTGTTCTCCTGGCATCTCGCTGTCTTTGGGTCCCTTTATGGAAATGTTTGGCAGAGAGACCACCTCTTTGTGGCGTGTTTGCGAATGTTGTCCGTAAGCACAGAGGGCAGCTGTAAAGCAAAGTCAAGTGGCACATTCATACGTTCTGTGCCCAAAGAGTGTACGCAAGGAATAGATTGATGAATACGGCTCATTCCTATCAGCTGCAGTGTGTGGGAGGTTGAGAGGAGGAGAAAAGGCTATGCTCCAGTCAGCTTTGGGACCTATTAGCATTTGGACAAGCTCAGAAAGCTCCCAGTGGCTGTGCCACACAGAGAGTGGTTGGACTGAAGTGCCTGTTCTGCTGAAGCTATAAGCTGAGCCCTATCAATGGGTCTTTTGTGTAAAAACCTGCTGGCCTTTATCTCGGCCGTCCGTCACATGCTTGAAAATAATACAATGACTTCCTGAATGCTCCAACCTGAACAGCCACATTGTCATTTAGCAGATGATTGCTGATAAGAATGCCCCAATATCAAATTATTTGTATCAGTTATTCATATATTCGTTGAGTGCATCTGAAGTGAATGCGCTTCATTTACAAATTGCTTTTGTCATTTAATGCGCCAATGGTTATTTTTTTCTATTAATTTGAGCATTTCACTTGTTTTTAATCATTTCTCTAGTCCAAAATCTATTGATTGGTGTTTGTTGCTTTAACAACCTCCTAACGAGCTGTAGTCTAAGCAGGAGCTCTCCTCAGTGTCGTCCTTGATTCAGACACATCCGTCAACTCAGCCGGGAACATCAGAAGTGGACTTCTGACTCCATCTCTTCTCGTTTCTTTCCATCTGTCTGGGTGAAACTCAATGAGGGACATCCTTTTGTTTTGTTTGTTTCTCCACAGCAGCTTCTGGTTGACTTTGGAACACACAACTGTTCGTGTTACTGTATATTTGCAGTTTGCATGAGGAAAAGTTTAAAAAAGAGCACAAGGCTGGCTTCTTTAGCTGTCAGAATCAACTGCTTTACTTTTGAGTCAATATCCTTGATTGAAACATTTAGCTGTCATAGTTTCAAATACGTAGCTCTTAAGATTCAAGCAGATGTATGAAATAAAATGCTTGAAATAGCCAAAAGATCTGTTAAGTGTAGTTTGATTGTTTTACTTACCAAATTAAACCTAACAGAATTATACTTCTATAAAAAGACACAGGATTCCTTAAATCGTTGGAGGTTGATCTTTGTAAAGCAAAAGGAAGTGCCCTGTGTGCATGCGTTTGTTTGTGTGAGTGAGAGTCTCTGGCTCCTGTTGGTCTGTGTCTTCAGACCCACAAATAAACAGCAATACGCCTTCTGGAAAAGCACAGACCTCTCACAGTCTGTATATGGGTTAAGCAGTTCATGAGAAAAGGAACACTCGCACATGCAGGACACACACTTACGCAGATACACATTTCTTCATCAATGTTCCTCATCCGCTCTGCCGAGGTGTCTGCGGTCCACATTGCAGTTATTTTTTGTCAGTGATATTTAAATTAGCAGTATTGCTGTCACCGTCACTGCTGCTTTTTGCTTTGTGTGGTGTCTATAAAATCTGTCCCTTCACCAGCCCACTCACCCTCTGCAGCAGAAGGGTTCATCTGTGCGCCAGCATGGAGCTTCCTCAACCTTTTGGGTCTGGTAAAAATGTCCGAACTGAAAACCACTGCAAGAGATTTGTTTCCACTGAGCCAGCTGCGGCTTTTTGTCCAGTCCACCAACAGCTTCTACTATCTGCGTGTCGGTGTATGCAAGCCTATACTGACCTTGAGCTGGGGGCATTGAATTTGTGGGGCCCATCTAGATTGTTCTAAAAGGTAGATATTGGTTACTAAGAATCATTTGGTTTTGAAGAGAATGCAAAACATTAGATTTTTTTCACTTCATTTTCACTTAATTGTATTTACAACTAAATGTTTGTTGGTAGTTAGTTTGGAGATGAGCAAAATGAGACACATTTTCCAGTAAATCCCTCGACTTATCAAAGAATCTCACTATCCCTGTATTCCTTGCCAGACTTGTGCATTTGGCTAGAGACATCCTGTAATTACAAAGTCAAAGGGTTAAGCTCTGCAGCAGCAGATGCATCCACCATTGACCATCTGTCCTGTCAAAATGTCCTTGAGCAGAAGACTGGACCCCTACCTGTTCACTCACTGGTATCTGTCTGGACAGGAGAGTCAAACATAAACTAGAGGAACTTATGTAACTTAGAAGTAAGTGTATGTTCGGTCTAATTTTTGACCACTCATCACCGATGTTCAAGAAGCTCACTTGACCAGGTCGATGGGACATTTTGACCAGCCTAACTGGATTTAGATAGCTGATCAACAGTCTAACTTAACCGTCTGCTGTGCTGAACTCTAGCAGATGCTGACCTCATCCGGAGTTTGCCAGCGGGCTGCAGCAACGGTACTAATCAACCAATCAAGTCGCAGAAAGACCTGCCTCTGTTCACTCTCAAAAACATATCAGACTTGTCTCAGCGCTCCAGTTTATACACTGCATGATGCATGCAGAGGAGGGCAAGCTGGGGTGGATTTGAAAGGAGGGAAGGTTAAGCAGGATGAAGGGGGAGAGACGTGTTTACTGAGAACATGATGAAGGCTTTGGATGACGTATGGAGGTAGACATGAGAAAAATGTCTCGTCCTGAATGGAGTCTCCTCATTCATCTGATAAGAACTGCACGTTCCTGTGATGAATGGTCAGTGTCATAAGCCTCCGTTTGATCGATAGGATCCATGAGATGGGATCTGAGTTGTTTGCAATTGCCTCCTTTGAATCTTTTAGCCCCTATGATGCTGTCCTTGATTTAACCGAAGGCGTCTTTTGTTTTGTATAGCTGATCTCTTGTAATATTTTAGATTTTTTTTTTTGTTGCATTTACTTCAAACATGCTGTTGCCCCTTCAGAGCTACTAGTTCAAGCTCTAGCTCACATGGGGCAGCACAGTATGGGAAGAATTCAAATCAGGATATTGTATCATTTCGAGTGTCTCGTGATATAATATAAAGTTTGTTTGTGTTTTTTCCTTGCAGCTTAGCCTAGATAAACTATTACCATTTTGTATTGGAGAAATAGCTGAACATGGTGTTTACTTAGGGCCTGTGATAACAAACATCATATTCACCACAGCAGAGCATCATGACGTGCTTCCGTCTGCTGCTTGCTAAATTACCCTGATTGTCATCTTCTCAGGTTTCCTCCTCTGCTCAGAAAAGATAACATCCCTCACTCTATCTGTCCCCAAACATCCCCCTTTTGCTATCTTGCCTTCTCTAAATCCAGTTATCTCTCTACTCTCATGATGATGATGACCGTTGGCATATCTGTTTAATCTTAACAGCACTGCTTGCTATTTCCTCTTTTCTTTTTTTGTCACTTTGTAACACTTTTCTGCTTTGAATGCAACTGACATATACTTACTTGTTAGTTCAGTCTATTGTACCGTAATTTGTCCCTTTTCTGTCTTAATTACAGTCCATCAAACTGACCGATACTTTTACACCCTCTAAATCCTTAATTGTGTTTGTGTTCTCCCAAAGAATCTCCAAAAATATCCCCACCACCAAGGATATCGAACCCCTGCTGGAGATTGATGGAGACATCCGCAGCTTCGAGGTCTTCCTCTCATCCAGAACACCTGTCCTTACAGCCAGAGACGTGGAGATGTTTCTGCCCTGCACCGTCAACCTGGACCCCAAACTTAGGGAGATCATTGCAGGTCTGCATACCCTCCGAATTCTAATAGCGTTTAAAAGTTTACTAAACTTTTTTTTAGCCAAACTCTGAAGCCAGCCACTGCATGGACTCTCAATATGCCACAGTTTGGTTCTCATTTCCAAACAATCAGATCTCAAGCATTGACCCTAGTGCGTTAGAATTAGAAGAAGTTTTCACCCATTGCCATCAAAGTGCCTGCGGTACTCAACCAAACCTCAGTTTGTTGTTAAAGTGACATAAAAGCGTGTCAGTATGAAACTACAAGCATGCGATGCGCTGTAATTTTGCTACTGTGCGTCAGCAGCTATTAGGGCTATACAGGAGTGTCAATGACGCCTAGTGTGAAGCTGCTGCATCATATTGCTGTGAGACCTCAGAAAACACATACTCACACACACAGAAAGTCTGTTCCATTCAACCAACATTGAGTCATGAAGGGCGCAGCTGACCAAGTTCCACAACCAGATGTCCAGCCTGTAAGTGCAGATTGGAAGTGTTTAGGTGTGTGTACTGTATGTATCTATGAAACATGTGTTTATTTGTGTGCACGGGCTCAATGTGTGGGTGTTTTCACCTCCACAAACGTCCGCAGGGAGCGGAAGGTGACCAATGCTCTTGCCCAGTCATCCCGCCCCCCCTTTAGTTCCTACATGACCGGTTGGTACTTGGTGCCCAGTGTCCTGTGGCCAGCCAGTGGGCAGTGCTGTCGATGATACCCGCCCATGAGCCTGACTCACATCATAAGGCCCCCATTGTGTTCACAGACTGTATTGGGTCTTATTCAGTGTGTCATTCAGCAGCCACTTGTATAACCAGGAGACATTCTGGTGCCTGCTTCTGTTTCTGGTTCATACTTTCTTGCCAGCTACACAGAGCAACACTGTTCTGTCTTCAGGCTTATTTCACTTTAATTTGGATGTTTTTTTTTTATCAAAGTTCCGACTGAGCTCCTACTCTGTTCCTCTGAAAGTCAAATAGATGTATGGGAACATATTCAAGTTCACATGCTCTGCTTTGTTTACAATTTTTTTTTGGGGCTGTTTTTTTTTCTTTTCGATCTGGGACTGCAAGGACCTCCATGCGTCAGCCACCACTTGGCATATAATTTGGAAAACATACTCAGGATGTTTTCTGTTTGTGAGCAGCATGACTAATATAGGAATAAAAGTGGGAAGGGATTTAGCAACTGAATATTCTTATTGTCTGCTTCCATTTGTAAAAACGTTTTAGTTTGAGTATCTCACATTTTACAGAAGGAGACCATACCAGAGACACTGCTCTCATTGTAATCCCCCTACAGTGCTTTGAGCATCCAGAAATTTTCCTCTTGCGTACATCAGCTGTTTGATATGTATTATTCTCTTTGGATTCACAACTATCTTAACTCCCCAGAGATGATAGAATAAACCTAAGTTTCTGATATGTGGGTGGATCTAAAGGGTCTTTATAGTCATTGCCAAGACATGACCATCAGTTCCACAGAAAAACACTTCGTTCTTTCTTCATCCGTTGTTCTTTTCCCCTTTCCCCTCTTAGATGTGCGTGCGGCCAGGGAGCAGATGCACTTGGGAGGAGTGACCTATCCCACGCTGCCCCTGCAAGAGGCAGTGCCCCGTCCCCAGTCAGGGTATGGCCAGCATTCAGCCGCCTGCTCCCCAACAGGCTCCTTTGCTGGGTCACTACCTCCTCAGCCGCATAGCTCCTACTTCAGTGGAATGACTGGCCCTCAGCATCCTTTCTACAACCGGGTGAGCCACGACAACCAGTCCTCTAAGCTCAACGGATTGTCAAATGATGGTATTTTTGTTCAGTGTGAGTGCCATATGAAATTAGTTTTCATTGTATGTGTATCATCTAGCAGCAAAAGCAAAGACAACCTCGAACAACCCAAACAAGTAATGCTCATTAAACCACAGTGTCCCAAATTTAGACGCTTGGTCACAACATCAACATTTAGAATTGTGTCAGAAAACACTCTTGAGTTTTTCCTCTTAAAAGGTGTTGAATGTACCTTGTGACCAACAGCAAAACCAAATTTTGCATTGTTACTTTTCCCCACCACCCTGTTTTGTTTACCTTTTCTCCCTTCCCCATCTGCATGTCCTTATCCATTCTTTTTTCCCCTTGTAGCCTTATTTCCCCCATCATGTGTATCACCTGCCAAGACATTACTCCCACCATGTCCCCTCATCCTCCCGCCCCTCCATTAAACCACCCGGTCAACCCCAAGATGCAAGTGGACTTGTAAGTAAAGAGGAAGCACAAGATCTATTCCATTTTTTCCCTTTGTCTCGTTTGATGTTTACTGCAACAGATATTTGTTGCAGTTGTGTTTATATTATCTATCAACAATGGTATTTCTCTTAAGTTCAATAGGTGTCATATTTATGGTTGAACAGAGCCCCACCGGAGTGTTTAGCCTCAAGTCAAATTTATTATGTCAATCAACTGCATGAACAAATCACAGAAGTTCTTTTTAATGCATCTTCTTCTCTCAGACTTCTTTTCCTCTATCTTTTTTTTATTTATCATGTCACGTTTCAGCTTAACATTTTTTGCTTTTGCCTCGTGTTCATTTTAAAGCCCCTCTTTTTCCACTTCTTCTGACCTTGACATGGTTTATTTATATTTTAAAATCCAAATCCAACAGTAGAAAAAGTCTAAGTTCAAAAAGTTAATTAGATCATAAAGTGCATGGTCATGAACTCGGCCTTCATTCAGCTTCCTTCTTATCCAACTCTGTTTCCATTTTGCACCCATATCAGGATGTTATTGCTGAGGATGCTAGAGAAGGCCTCCCCTCAAGCCCCTCTGACCCCTCCATGGTAACCTGAATAACATCATCAGTTGTATTTGCACATACAGTGCACTACTACATACGCGCCTGTTGAATATGGAGGTGCACTATCCTCCGTTGTAATCTGCCTGTTAAGCTGATGCTTTAAAGCACATTCATTTAGTTGTGTTGCATGGACACTAGTACGTTTCATTCATTCCTCTGTGTTAGAATGTCTGGAAGAACAAAAGCAGGTTATCGGGTGCACTGCTTGTTGGGTGTTGATATGCTGCATTTCGTGCAGCATGCATAATGAAGTCTTCATATGAATGTGCAACATTTGACATAGGTTTATATTTTGCTACAGGAAGCTTTCTGGTTTCTGTGACTGTACAGGCACGTTTTAGTCACTGTGTTTGCACGTTAACAGTCATCTAACAAACTAAACAGGGCCTCAAAACCTCTGGCTATTATCTGAAGCGAGTCTACCTATTGATGGGTTATTTTTCAATCTTGTTTAAATTACCCTGAAATGCTCTGACTGAATTAGAAACCCGAAAACACTGACCGTTATTACTCTGAGAATCAGCCAACGGAAGATGGTATAACTGTGAGCCCATGCTTGCTGAAATAAGTATTCAAGCAATAGTAATTATATCATTTTGAATGAAGTTCAATTAAGTTCATTTCTCATTCTCAAATAATGATAATGATAATATGATTTCAGAATGGTTTTCCACATCAGAAAGTAGGGGACAGAATGTTTGATTAATTTACTTTCTTATTTTTCTGTCAGATTTTTTTTTTCATATATTGTACAAAGAAAAAGAATCAAACTTCTGCATCCAGATATCCGCACATTTCCAGAGAGAGCAGCTACTATTGGAGCACTTTTAATGATAGCTCTACTCAGGAGATTTCTGCTGCACAAAGCCACTTATCAGGGCACCGCCAGCAAGCACTGAGCGAAGCTGAGTGAAAGATTTAAATATAGATTACTGCCTAATGTTCTTTTCCACAACCTCTTATCTGTCTGGATTTTGTGTCTTTAAAAAGAATTTAAATCCTGATCTTCATACCTTCATCAGTGTCTTTAAGTTTATTCCACGTTTGGCTCCTCGTATTATCTTCCTCCTTTTTCTCTTGTATGAATTTTCATATTTTTATCCCCGTTTAAACTCAGTCATAATCTCGTAGTGTAGTCTTTTCGTCTGCCTATATTTCTACAGATCTGCAAGTGTGTGTGTGTGTGTGTGTGTGTGTGTGTGTGTGTGTGTATGTGTGTTCTTGTGTGTGACTCCCGCTATATACCAGGCCTGGCTGAGTGTAATTGCCAAGCTGATGTAAGTACGAGTATGGATTCCTCTGGCTGCTGGGATTATCATCAGAACAAATGTTGGAGCTGGCAACACGCACACACACACACACACATTTTCCTGTACACTGACGATGAGCCCGGCACTGGTAGAGCTTATCTCCATACCAAGACGCTTCCTCCCTCACAGAGCTCTGTTTCCTCTTCCCCATCCTTCTGCCCAGTCCTGAGCTCAGCCCAGCTGTAATTACAGTCTTATCATACATACACACACACACTGTGCAGATTCACACAGACTTACACACAGACATTCACTCACGTTCCTAGAAGACACGTGGGCTGTCTAAATCAAGGAGCCCTCCCTGAATTGAAACTTCTGTGTTTTCGTTGTGTGTTTTTGTGGCAAAGGTACGTCCTCCTTTTGCTGGGTCCTTCACAATCGGCTCTGTCTGCGACTCCTGCGAAAACAAAATCTTCTTGTCTTCTAATTCTACTTCTAATAGCCTCTACATTTTCAGGCCGGTGGCGCTGGCTGTGTGGCTGCCGTCTCCTCCCCTGCTGTGAGACGGATAAATGTCTGCTCTGTTGTCGGTGTCTTTCATATCCCTATATGAGCAGTTTAACATGTGTGCTACTGTCTCCCTTTATATCTGTCGGTCCTCTCCGTCTTCATTCCAACCTTTCTGCCTTGTTTGTTCACAGGTACAGTCTCAGTTTCACAGTGTTCCGAATCTCTATCTGTGGTTTTAATTTGTCTGTTTGCTTCTTTTTGTCTCCTTATCAAGCATTTAAAGTCGCTGCCTTACAAATATAAGCAGGTACACCTCTGGTTTCATGGCCTCTGTTCTCTCTCTATTTCAGCCCCTTTTCTCTGTCATCCGCTTTCTCTACCTCATCTTTAACATGAGCACGTTGCCCCACCACTAGTCAGCATGCTGTAGAGAGAATATAAAGACACTGACGTAGTTACCAAATTCACTAACGTAGTTTCTTTATAAATGAAAACCCGTACACTATGGTCATGAACTGTAGAGAAACACCCTGAATGCAGTTATTTACAGAAAGTGTTTTTTTTACTTCCTAATAACCACTCACAATGCAGCTAAGCTCTGGTCGTGTTTCCCTTGAAACCAAAGACAAAGCCATGGGCTTTAGTCGAAAGCCATGTCTTAATGGTGCTAATAGCCGGGTGGAGCAGGAGGGAAAGATGAGAGAGAGAGAAGCCCTGTTGAAAAAGAAAAGTCGGAGGTCAGCACAAGGAAGGAATGTAGCTGAAGGAAGGAAGGAAGGAAGGAAGGGAGGGAGGGAGGGAGGGAGAAAGAAAGAAAAGGAAGGACCAAGGAGTTTGCTTGTCAAGAGACAAGTAGAGCTAGAGGGGGAGAGGGGCGAGGGATGGATGAGGTTTGTTTGGTTTCTGTGCCAGCGGTTGGCATGTCGGCTGTGTGCGAGGCCTTAGGCGGCATCAACAGGCAACTGGCATTAGTCACATCAAGCCTCGTAGCCTGTCCGCAGCGGTGGTCTCTCAGTGTGGCTCACAGACTTAGAGACTCCATCTCTTAAGTGTTGTGCACACACTTAATGTGCTTATATATACACGGCGAAAAGGGATAAGAGCAGGTAACAGTGTATTTGGATAGGCTGGCAGCTTTGTTTACTTTTACACTCTACACTCTTAAATTGTGTGACTGATAGAGAGATTTACCGTGTGGGATAGTGGTTTTGCTTCTTTCTGTGCCTTACAGTCATGGACCTGCATGTCTCTTTGCCAGGAATCATTGCTCGATTTGTACTAATCAGTGTTTTAGAAACGATAGCCCCTCTAATAGAGTGTGACTTTCCCCAGCTAATTCCTGAAAACTTGCTTTATCCTGTGTCGCTGTGTCTCTTTGTGCAGAGCGGTCCTGCAGTCCTGCTCAGCTCTTTGAACACAGAGGCGGTGTGTGAACGTCTCAAACAGATCGATGGAATTGACACCACCATGCTGCCTCACTACACAACTACCATAAAAAAGGTATACATGTGAAGACATTTCTGGTGTTTCTGACTTACCGCTCATTTTTACTCATTTTAATTGCCTTTGGGGTGCTTTTTCGCCCATTTATCTCTGTTTTTATTCCTCTTAACAAATTTGTCGTATCGGTTTTACATGTTGAAATAAAAAATGAAAATGTCAACTGCAGGCAAATATAAATGGACGCGTCCTTACTCATTGCAACATCGACGAGCTGAAGAAAGAGATGGAGATGAACTTTGGCGATTGGCAGCTCTTCAGAGGAATGGTGAGATACATTTGCTTCCTTTAGTTATGCAATAGCCTACTTTAACAATGGTGTTACCGGCATCTTTTTTGGACTTGAAGTAAAGGTTGACACAGAAAGTATCACTAACCGAAAAGCAACAAAAGGCACTTTTTGGTTTCTCAGAGTAAAGGCTTCAAATACAGGTCTGTTTTCAACTGGACACCCCCCCCCCCCCTCACTTTGTGATACTTCACAGACACTCAGCCCTGCCAGCGCCGTCCTGTTGATTCATGTCATCTCTGGTTTATTCCAAAAACGCAGCAAGACATTATCTCATAATAAGACATCTTTTTTGCTTTGAGATGTTGGGATGGGGATTTTATAATCCGTATTACGAGAAGCGCTCTCGTCAGTCAGCCAGAGGTCCAGTCGGATGAGCCGGGGCTGAAATCACCAACTCATGTAGCCAACTCCACTTCATCAGCCGTCAGTGTGTGCTCCTAATACCGAAGCAGGGCCCCGGATTGGTTGTGTTTCACTGGAGATTGAACGCAGGGCTCACATAGAAGCTGCTGGAAAGTCCAGTGGCCTCAGAGCTCCGTGTCAAAACACAATGTTGCGTTGCCAGGATGCTGCAACCACAGCCATCTGGTTCAAGATGGCCGGCTGATATCTGGATGAAGGGAGCTTATTGTTGGGGAGGAGAGCACAGCTGAGTAGCTCCACTTAAAGAACAGCTCACTATTTTCCTCACAAGCACATGCTTTTATTGTTGTTTGCTGTCTAACATACTTGTTCTGTATGTCACATGCTCTCAGAGAGCACATTCAACCTTCTCCACCAAAGCCTAATTGCCCCAACTCTGTATTTTATGGATAGTAAACCAGAGTTCTGAGATTTAATGGACTCTTCTTTTACACGGGGGCCCTATCTTCCAACCAAGTTTCAGTAACGTTTATCTGTGTCTGTTTTTGTGTAATTTTACTGACTGGAGAGACTAAGGCACCTTACAAAGGAATCAATGCAGTATTGTCCTGAAAATACACTGAAATAACTTGGTCATTAAAAATATTGAAACATGGCTTTTTGTCAAGGTGATGGAGCAACGTCACGCTGAAAACCAGGCAGTGCTTCACAACGAGTCCCGGGCTGCTAGTGAGCAAGGCAGCAGCGTCCTCCACGGGGAGCCCAGCAGACGCTCGGGGGGAGCCCAGCATGAAGCACCACCCTTCAGCCTCAACCTCAGTTTTGAGGAGCTCAGCGGAGTGGGGCTGGAGGAGCCTCCCAGGCGGAGCCACAACTCACACTGGCCGGTCAGTCCTCCCATCAGGAGCTCTGAGTAAACAAGACAGGGCAGCAAATATGATCAACCAGACGTCTGCTGTGTGAATGCGCTTTATATTCACACACACATGCACACGCAAAAGAGAGGAGAAGTTGTAAAGTTTTTTTTTTTTTTTCATTTTAAATGTTAGTATGAGTATCCAACAATTGCAGACGGTATTTAAAAGGTTCATTCCCCAAACTGTCGAAGAGCCTCGTGTTGGCCGCACAGAGCCAATGTGCTGATGATCTCAGCAGTTCTGAGTTATGGCGGTTTTGAGTGAGAGAAGTGCACCACAGTAAGCCTGTGTTGCTCTTGAATTTGACAGAATTAAAAATACATACGCACACACTGCAGTACACCGAAAGGTGTCAAGGGGCCCCCTGTTTGTTATTTTCTCTCTCCCCATTTCCCAATTTGCAAAATCTCTGAGACACGAACAAACATTCACACGTAGACAGCTGGCTCTGCTGCTATTTTAAGTGCTCCCACTTTGTGAATTGTTTCAAATTTAATCCCAGCCCGGAACACACAGCGCGGCTTTCTTTACCCCTCCTTCTGTGTTCGATGCCAGCAACTTTTTCACTTTGTCCCCATATTCTGAGGGTCTCGTTGATTGAAAGCCAGTTACAGCAAAGAATTTTGATAAATGTACACACATACACGTACATGTTTACGGTCTATTTCTGTGTGTTGGTTTAAAGCCCAGAACTGTAAAGCACTGAAGTGTAGAAATCTTTGATGTAAACATGTGCTCCGGCAAACTGAGTTTGCGTGCCATCCCAACTCTCTCTCATCTTGTCAGGTGGCAAATAACCGCACATCCAGCATGTCCAGTCTGAACTCTCAGGAGTCCTCTAATGACATTTGCAAGCTGACGGACAAGCAGCAGGCTGAGTATCGTGATGCCTACACGGAGTACATCACTCAGATGGCCCAGCTGGAACTTTCCGGCAGCGGGGGAGAGAGGCCTGTGCAGCCCCACCCTGGACAGTTCCTCCAGGGTCCAAACTCAGAAGACAAAGGGGTGAGTGGACTGCCACAAATACACTGTGTCTGTTTTCCTCTCAGAACCTCCACTGGTAGAAATAACTCAAGTCAAATTAGAGCGTTAGAGAATATGTTGTGGTTAACTTTCATTAACTTCCTACAGATAAAGCTCTGAGGTCAGCTTATATTTCCGAAAACATTTTGTTTTCGAATGTTATATTTTACCGGCCTACACAAAAGGCAAAAGTCCAGGCCTGGACGGAGAAAATGGACATCTCTGTTTCTTGCATTTCTTAATTGTTGGCGTTTGCTCTGTTTCTCTTGGCACCAAAGGGAGAGACAGAAATCCCCTCCTCTGAGGCCTCTTGGGGACCAGCCGCACAGAATACTGTATATTCCTTTGTTCTCCTCACTGAATCCTCTTCCCTCCCCTCAGGCCAAGGAAGGAGCGGACCAAGACAGCCGCAAGTGCTTCACCAAGAGAGGATCCAAAAGTACAGATGTCACCGATTTTGCTTTGGGCACAGATGCTCTGCTCCTAGACCCCATCAGCGAAGAGGATGAGAAGCTGGACAACAGCATGTCCTCCAAGACCCCAGGCTCCAAGAAAAAGGGAGCTGGTTCATACTATCACAGGCTGGCCAACGAAGAAGACTCAGAAGAAGGCCCAGAAGAATCTGAGAACACCACACCTCTCCTCCACAACGAGGCAAAAACCGGCGCTGTGTCCTCACAGAGAGCCTCACAGCCTCCTGGGCTGCTGGCCAAGCCTGCCCCCCCCACAGAGATCTTTGTGGATAAGAAGGACCTCTCTGACTCAGGGATGCGTTCCAGTGACAGCTCCTCAGACCCCTCCCTGGAGGAAGCCGATGGAGACGCTGACCGAGGGAGAGAAACCCTGAAGCCCAGCCTAATCGAGCTGGAGCTGGAGGGGCTGGTGAAGAAGAGAGGCTTCCTCCCCAGCAGCCTCAGCGGCCTGCAGGAGGCCACGGTGGCCCGCATGTCCATCTGCTCCGAGGCTCCGTCCGAAGGCAGCCTGATGGCCAGCAGCCCAGACGAGGGCTGGTCCTCCAACGAGGTCAGCAACCTCAACCGCACCACCAGCAACACCACCCTCAACAACAACACAGGCAGCCCCGTTGACTCCAACACCAACACCAACAACAGCCATCAGCAGCAGAGCAACACCACCGGCACACCGTCCACCTCGGCCAGCATCATCGCCCCCCCGGCGGTCATCATCACCCCCGGCAGCGGCTCTGCCGGAACCACGGCCGCCACCCTCCACCACAACCACAACCTGTGCACCATCAATGTGGGAGAGGAGAGGGAGAGCGTCCTCTGAGCAACCCTGGGGGTGGGTTGGGGTCAGGGTACGGATGGAGGGGGGGTTGTCGATGTCGTGGGTAGTACGAGTTATTTGTTTGAAATTGTGATGTGCTCCAAAGAATTAGAGTTGATATCTTTGTTCTGTTGTTTGGAGAAACCGTAGGAGTGTCGTTACAGTTCATGTATGGTGCATCCAAAATCTTTGAATATTTGGAATATTTAGTGAGCAGACAAAAAATGTCTTCTAGTTAAAAAAAAACAAAAAAAAAAAACAGTGAATGACATTTGTATATCACCAAAAAATGTTAGGTGTGTTGAATAGGTACTGTTACAAAAACCGGCTTGTTTTTGTGTTTGGGTTCCTCTAACCATGTGAATGCCGTGCTGTTTCGTGAAGTTGGAGTGTCAAGTGAAGGAATCTTTCAAATGTGGTGCTGTGTTTGGTGGTGTTACTGAAGCCCTTCCAGAGTGCCCTGCTGGAACTTATAGTTGAACATTTCCCGTTCTGTACGTGTTAGTCTGGAGTCTCTGAGGTAGAATAAATGCATGCGCTGGACTCCAAAGTAGTGTTTGTTTGTGTACACTTTGTGTTGTGATTAATAAACATTTCACTACATGTGATTCATGAAATCAATCCGTGGACTCTTCTTTTTCAGATTTTCTTTTAAGGAATTCTAGCGGATAGCTCATTCGTTTTAGGATTTATTTAGCTGGTCGTTACATTCTCACATTATTTTTCTAATATTTGATTATTATGTTCAATCCCATGCAGTTGTGGGGGTCAGAAAGCCTGACAGGCAACGTGAGGTCAACCCTTGCAGGACTTTTGTTGTCCAATAGATGGCGCAGTGTCCATACAAACCTGCAGCAGACTTGAGTTGAAGGCAAGTCACTCCTCAGATCAGCATGACTCAACGTCAGTTTGTCAGTATGCTGAGGGAGACGAGTCGTTTTTGGTACTTTTATATCAACTAAATCACACACTCCTATTCAACCATATCTGGCTTTTAAATGTTTCCCATTTGAAAACTCCTTACTCGATCTAGACGCATCCTATCAAAATATTTATACTCGATAAGAGTCAAAGGAGTCCACATACTTGTTAATGGGATGAAAGTGTTGGAGAGTGTCCCCCAGCCACCCCTGAACCTCTCATCCCTGCTCTTAAGTGTTCTGCCCACGATTCAGATGTTTTAAGACTTTAAGGTGTTAATTCCCCTCTATCGCCCATGACAGAGAGCAGCCCATCATCTCTTGACTTTGTTCATTTCCACAGTCTCCCTTTACTGATGACAGGCTAATATTATTCATTTCAGACGTCTGATCCGTAAAATTCTGTTCTAATAGAGATTAATTCGGCAAACTTTGAAAATAAATCGAAAGGCAGCCTGATCCTTTAAAGTTGGTTTGAAAACGGAGGCAGCTACTGCCTGGAGTAATCGGTTGAACGTTCCTGGGATCAGTAACGCATCACAGACTCTGTTTCCCCTCAAGTTGAATTTCCATAATTGTCTACCTTTAAAACGGCATGGCCTCGGCCTAGTGCTTAAATGGCTCAGACTGCCACGCTAAACCGCTTAATCCTATTTACTTTACATAGCATGTGAGAAAGTAAAAGTGCAGTCAGTCAGTCTGTGCGCCCTAAATAAGCTTTTTATGCGTCTGGGAGCCCGCAGGTCGCGTTTGCCCACCAGTGGTGTCGATGCTGCGTTTTGGACCATAATGGGTCACATTCCGCAGGTCTGATACGAACACGTTGAGGCATTTGTTTTAAGGGTCTCAGATGTGCAATCTGTGAGCGTACACGCACTGCACGTACAGTCCGAATGGTTTTACGCACCGTGCCCAACCCCTAAAGTGTCCCCAAATGAAACATGTTCAGATTGTGTTTTTGATTTATTTTGTATAAAAACGGTACAATTTACATTACTTTTATAAAAAGTTTCAGCATAATTAAGTACAACATTACACTTTTGCAGAAGTTTCAAATTCCTGCAACTATACAAGATAAACTCCGCAGGAGAGTTCACAAGATCTCATTCTTTCATTTTTTTTTTTTACTTTAGTTTCGTTTTTTCTTCTTTTAACATCGTCCAGTCCTTCATGTGCCAACAATTCTGACAAGACAAGACTAAACTTTTTCTCTTTTCTTTTTTTTCTTCATTTTTTGTTTTTTTAACAGTAACTAACCGAGTTGTCTGTTCTATACACGTTCCCACCTCCGCAAAAAAAGCGAAGAGTTCAACAAGAAGAGGGGCAGGGGAGGGGGTGAGGGGGGGGGGAATAATCCTTGTGACAATAATCTCATTTTTCCTCCCTCAGCAGGGAACATAACGCGCCTTCCATTTCCAGAAAGGACCCACATTTTTTTTTTTTTATAAAAAGTCTTAAGTTAAATAATGAAGTGTCCAAACAGAAAACACATCACATAAGATTGTCCCATAATAAGTAAAAGTCTTTTTCAGCGGTTTCAGCTTCAGAAAAAAAAAAAACTTTTAAAAAAAAAAAAAAAAGGGGGGGGGGGAAAAATGCAGGGCCGGGGGGGAGAGGGGGGGGGGGGGGGGGGGGGGGGGGGGAAAGTCCTGCTCCCCAGGTCCTGTGTGTGTGTTTTTGCGTCTTGACCAAACACCTGCAAAAGATTGAGAAAGAGAGGCGTGTTTAGAAAACGCAAACAGGGCAGAGATCCGGACAGACTGGCGCCAGGGAGGAAGCCGCAGTTTTTAACATTTAACCAAACACTCCCAATACTAAGCAAACCCTGCGCTCCAGATGTACACACACACACACACACAGAGATGGGGAATAAGAGCTGCGCTCACTCACTCACTCACACACACACACTTTTCGCACAACTTCAGCCTACAATCTGGGGAAGAATCAGCGTAATTGCCGCTCAGCTGGCGCCTACCCACTTCTTGTACCAATTATGTGCAGACATCGTAGTAGCAGTAATCCAAACAGCCATTATTTTCCTGTTGCAGATGCTCTTCATTATAGACACAAGAGGGTATAATACAGCCCTGACGACTGCTACTTATACACAGTCAAACAAGCAGCCTGGAGCGAAAACCTTCCATGTAATTCCTCCCCAACTCCGAGGCGAAATGTCTGTCAGCTGAACGGACTTTTGGCCACAGCAGACAAGTCACGCAGTTATTAGATTAATGTGGGCCACCTTTTTTGGTTTGTTTTTTTGTGTTGACACAGACAAGCCCCTAAACTGCCAAATAATGCGGTCCGTTTCAGACCAATATGTCCAAAAATATTTTAAATAAACTGGCTTCAAGACAAGCAGAGTGTCCGTGCCGTGGCGGAACTGACGCCCCCGGTGCTGCAGCGCGTTCTCACACACACACGCACACACACACACACACAAAGAAAAGAAAAAAACGCACTGGGGCCATTACAGCAACGTGAGACGGCATTAGAAAGGAAAACAAATGGATGGGTGAGTGGTCATTCCAGCCCATTCTGCTCCGGCAGACTGGGAGACAGGCTGTGGAGCTGTGCTGGACAGACTGCAGCAGACATGAGGACAGCCCTACTTACCGCTTTAACGATGCAGAGTCCGGCTGTCATCTGTCATCAGCTCTGATGGCAACTCCGGGGACTGAAAACAAACAAACACACGGTCCAAATCTTAAGTCTCAACGCAGCTTTCGATCGGAGGTGTCTGGCTGTAGTGGCGACGGCGCGTGGCAAGTCCAGCATCTTTGCCGATTTGAAGCCGAACAAAAGAAGGGGGGAAAACACGCCGTTTTTTCCCCCCTTCCAACAAGCCATTTTGTGCGAGTTACGCATTGGCTGCCGAGGCGCTCTGCCTCTGCGCGCAAACGCATTTACAGACCCACTCCGGGGCTTTTCTGTCTGAGGGGTGCGCGTGTGTAATTACCTGTAATGACAAGATGCTGATATCTGTGTTGAGGGTGGTCAAAGGGGTCCTGGACGGAGTCTGCCCCGGCCGCGCGGGGTGATGCAGGCTGGTTAGTGCGACACTGGAGTCTAGCGCAATCTGCAGGTCCAGGATGTAGTCGATGACATGCTGCAGGATTTCCATCTTGCTGACGTTCTTGTTCTGGGGGATGCTGGGCACGAGCTCCTTCAGCTTGGAGTAGCAGTCGTTCATGTTGTACAGCAGGCTGAGGGGGTCGTCCACCGGGGTCTTGCTCCGAGAGATTCCCAAGGAGTGCTCTGATAAATTCGCGTTGGTTTTCCGGAAAGAGCGCACGGGGCTTATTGCTTTCATTTTGTCGGGGTTAAGTTAAGCGAGAGGGTTTGCCTGTGTCGATGTCTCGCTTGTAGGTAGTCCTCTATTTGTCAGACGATCAGCGATCAGACTGGATTACCTAGTTGTCAGTGTGGTTTATATAGGCAGCAGCTTGTGCGTGCGATGTGGGCGGGTTGGAATCACTGATAGGGAGCGGCCAAGGTGTCAGTCCGGGACATTCCGGCCTCCTACTGGCTGCCCTGCCTCAGACCACGCCCCCTCCCCCCTCCGCGTTACCGGTGGCAACGCATGTTGGAGGCGGAACCCAGAGGGCGCCTGAGCAGCTCCGGTGGGCAATTTGGAAAATTAAGCTCTTACCTGTTTCTGATCAAGAAAATTAATGATTCGCATGGATGTCAGATGACAAAGCCGGCCCGCGAGCACGGCGTGTGCACGTCGCAAATGTGAGCTTGTGAGTTTTGGGATGACGATCAGGCCGGTTTGGTTTTGAAAAATGGGTCTGAGAATCAAAATGAGCAATCAGGAGAAAGGAGCATCTGTGCGTAAGTCCCGGAGTCTGACTTGTTGACAGCTCCAGTGTTATATCTTCAGTCATTTTCCCCCACATGTGTGAGCTGACGTGGGAGGGGGGGGGGGGGGGGGGGGGGGGGGGGGGGTGGAGGTGTGGAACAGGGGACCACATCTGATGACTCCTAATTCACACCGGCCCGGACCGGTGTGAGGGTCGATTCCTAAAGTTGAGTTTCAGATCGGGAAAGGCTCCGGCCGGAATTTGTTTAAACGGAGGA